CCAATCGGGGTTACAGCCTTAGAGGGAGGAGCAGGCATCCCCAGTGGGGTCCAGAACAAAGAAGCCCGACCCCAGAGAGAGACAGTCCCTTGACCTGGGAAGTTCGGAGGATCAGACAGCTCTCCAGGCACCCACATGGTCCCGGCATGAGACACTGAGAAGCTTGTTTGCAGAAAGAGAAAAGTGACCCTGAGGACCGCATGGCCATCTTGAAGGCATCGGAGTTTGGTTAAAGGTGCACTGATCATCTGAGCAAATCTCTGGAGGGCATCACCCGAAGAGCTGCAGGCAACACAAGGGCTTTGTGTTGGCACAAGCAGGCGCCTCCTCCTGGGGAGGGGCAGCCCCCTGCCCGAGGGAAGGGGCTTCTCCCTCCCAGGCCGGGCCACCTCCCTGTGGCCGAGAGCCTGTCAGCAGGCCTGAGGCCGTCTCTCCGGGCCCCGGTGCTCCTGTCCACAGCTCTGCTTCCAGGCCGCCATGCGGGGCCAGTAGCATCAGTGAGATGAGGTGTGGGGCTAGGCGGGAGCCTTCATGGCGGCACCCCTTGGGATTCTTCTTTACCCGAGAGGTCAGGAAGGGTCATCCTTCTTTAACCCCCTTCTTTTCCTGGAGCTGGTTCAAGTCAGGGCCCTTCTGGCCGGCCAGCCTGCTTCTGCACCCTGAAGTGGAGTGGAGACCTACGGGGTCACTAAGGCAGCTTTATTCCTGGGGGTCGAGGAGTGAATGGGAGGTATAGGGCGATAGATTTTAACCTCCTTAACCGTGAGAGGGAGAAACTGAAGCAACAGGATCAGCAAATTCAATGACCGGTCTAGGGCCATGTCCAAGGTGGTTCACAAGGGCAGGCCTCCCTGAAAAGGGAAGCTAGAGTCCGGGGGTATAGGGGGACACAGGGCTAACCCTGCTTAGCTGGGCAGGGGCCTGGGATGGGCCTGCTGGTGTGAGGAGGAGGGGTGCTTGTCCATCACTCCCACGGCTGCCTGGAGGAGGTAGATGTTTTGGGTGTTAAGAGTGAGAGTGAAACATCTGGATGAGAACAAGGTGAGGAGCCTGTGGCTTCCTTGGAGAAGGTTCAGAGGCTGTTTGGAGGGAACAGGTAGGCAGGCTCCCTCACCGGGAGGGGTGAAGTCATTCACCACCTTCCCCCTTCCCTCCCCCTGCGTCCTCATGTCAGCCCTCTTGAGGTTTCCTGATTTTAACTACCATCATCAAGTAGGTGGGACCACTGGCTCACCCACCACCATCACCAAGGGCCTGGGGCTTCTTCCACATGGAAGACTGGAAATGGCCCCTGCACTGCAGGTGCCTCGAAGGCCCACCAGCCATGAGGAAGTGCAGGCAGGGGTCATGAATTTTGGTTTCAGGTGCCACAGTTTCAAGTTGCCTGAAGTTGTCAAAAGTCAAAGGCAAGCAGACAGCACGTGGTCCTCAGTCCTGCGTCTGGTTTGGGCATGGGCTTGGTGTGTGCCGAGGTCTATAGGAAAGGCCCTGTCCCCCTGATGGCCCTCAGGCCCCCTCGGGGAGGGAGGAGAGGTGGGAGTGAGGCGTGGGGCAGAAGTCCTTGGACTCCAGGCAGACACAGTGGAGAGAGAAGATACTTTCAGCAGCCCCAGCCAGTGTGGGCAGAAGGCTGTGGTCAGCTGCTGCTTCCAGGGCTGATGTGCACTGGGACTGAAGAGGTGGTCCCTTCTCACAGGGCAAGTGGGCAGCAGCTCTGGGCTTCTGATAGCCTGGGCTATCAAGCCAGCTCTGTGGCTGTGGACGCCTTTGGTTCTGACCACAGACAGCCATGGTCCAAAACTCAAGGTGGCAGGGCAGGGCTCTGGGACCCAGGCTGGGCATTTCTACTGTCAACAAGGTGCCCCTGTGATTCCACATGACCTGGCCCAGTAGTTGTGCTGCTGTGGTTGGTTGACCTTTGAATGCTATCTTTCACCCAGCTAGCTCTTGAATCTGCCCTCATAAGAGTAATCAAACCTGACTGTCTGAAATCTAATGAGTAATAAAATCTAATTATCTGAAAGCTAATACCTAAGGTTTCCTTGGAAGAAAAACTATGACAAACCTAGACAGCATATTAAAAAGCAGAGACATCACTTTGCTGACAACGGTCCATATAGTCAAAGCTATGGTTTTTCCAGTAGTCATGTATGGATGTGACGGTTGGACCATAAAGAAGGGCACCAAAGAATTGATGCTTTCAAACTATGGTGCTGGAGAAGACTCTTGAGATTCCCTTGGACAGGAAGGAGATCAAACCAGTCAATCCGAAAGGAAATCAACTGTGAATATTCATTGGAAGGACTGATGCTGAAGCTGAAACTCCAATACTTTGGCCACCTGATGTGAAGAGGTGACTCATTGGAAAAGACCCTGATGCTGGGAAAATTGAAGGCAGGAGGAGAAGGGGACGACAGAGGATGAGATGGTTGGATGGCATCACCGATTGAATGGACGTGAGTTTGTGCAAACTCTGGGAGATGGTGAAGGACAGGGAAGCTTGGGGTGCTGCAGTCCATAGGGTTGCAAAGAGTCTGACACCACTAAGCGACTGGACAAAAATCCCTAGGCAGGAAATGCTAAAATGTTCAACCAAGGCTCAGAGCTGGTCAGAGCTGCCACCTCCTTCCGCGGCATCAGGCAAAGTCTAGTTGGCGATGAGAACAGTCTTCTCAGCAGGAACCTATTTCACCTCATTGGAACTAAACTTGTTGAGAAATTTCTTAAGTCCAGCTTTTGTTGGGATGTCTTTTATGTGGAATCTGATGGTCTCCCCAGGCTTCACTGTCCTGGAAAATTCAAAAATACACAACCATGCGGTTGGCTGGGAGTGCTGCGGGAGAGGGGAGGGGCACTGTGAGAGAAGCCGGGAGTCCCAGCCTCAGCTCAGTCTTTTTGAAGGGTCCTGGCTGGTCCTGGGCAGGGCACATGGGCATCCACACTGGGCTCTGTGAGAAGTACCTAGGAACTTTAGATGACTACTAATGATGAGACCCAGGCTGGAGAGTCAGTTGCAGCTGTCAGGGCTGGGACACGCTGCCAGGGCTGGGCGGGGACATCAGTAGTATTTCTGCCATTGGAGCACTAGGTATAAACCAACAAGCTGAAGACAAGTTCAACCTCCAACTTGCTGAGTCTGATCAACACACCGACTTTTCCAACTTGGATTACTATAGAAGACCTTCACACTGTAGAACACACATGCTCCTCTAGCTTATTCTGGAAGATCAGAAGATCCAGAAGTGCAGCTCTTAAGTTCCTATACAGTCTCAGCTAGCCAAGGTGAGCGGCAGCGCCTACTGTTTACAAGGTACCTCAAACATCCCTAGAGACATGACTGCCTGGAGATGCGTGTGTTTTCCCCAATTCCTCTCAGGAGGTGGGAGAAATTTTCTACTAAGCCACTTGGGTGAGGGTGGGAAGGGAAATTCCCCAAGAGAAACTCTTGACGCTTAAGTCATGAAAGACCCCTCTCTGCCTTTGGGGGCGTGGGGTGGGGGCTGCGGGGAGGGCAGGAGGTGCACACCTGACAGGAAAGAGTTGCTAAGGAGCTTTTCACTGTAACTTTTGCATCTTTAGAATTTTGTACTACGTGCAAATAATTACTTATTCCAAAAATTAAAATGTTAAAGATTCAGTTGAGCAAAAACTTTAGAAATAAAATTGCCTGTTGATGCATCACTTCAGAAATTCTAATTTGGAAAAGCAAGGTGTTATTTCTCTTAGGAATACACCTGGCCTGAAGAATAAGCCAACTAGGGCACTCCGCCCCCCCCCCCCCAGGGGTCTTAGAGACCCACCCAGAGCCAAGACCGAGCTCCAGGCAGGAGCCCTTTCTGCCTCTAGTGGCTCGCCTCTACCGGGGAGCTTAGCGTACTGGAAAGATACAGATTCCTGAGAGGCGGGCATTTCTTCGGACTCTAGAATTCTGCAATGATGAAACCTTTGATGATTGGTTCATCATCAGACACAGGTAGTCCAAGTAGGTATTGGAATCCAAGGACAGAGTCTCTTCAGATGCTGCCAAAGAGCTAGAGAGGAGGGATGTGGTCATTACTACAGTCCCCCAAAATGAGTCACCATCAGGCACAGAATTAGAAGAAATCTGGATGGACAGAACTGGGTTACTTTGTGTAAGTCTCTTCCTCTCTCTGGAAAACAAGCAGCCGAGCTCAAGATGAAATAATAATCGACTGCGTTCTCCAGGCTCCCATCCTGAGTCCATGGAGACATCCTCAGCTTTAGAACTTTTTCTGCCCATTCTCAACTGCCCTGGCTACCCACAAACCACTGGTTAGAGTAGGCATTTGAGACAAAATCTTTGCCATCATAAAAGACTTCCAGTGCTACTTCTAGCACCCCTGATTCATGACTGTGATGAACTCCAGGCTTCTAGACTAGTCTCTTTGGCCCCTATTTTCTCTGTGCATAGATTCCTTGTAACTATCAAGTGGTAGCTACTTAGGAAATGTTCATTTGTGTTAACTCACAAACCATGAAAATCAAAAGCAGGGTCTCTGAAGCAGGGACACACGTGCGCGTGGGGGTTATCGTCCATCCTTGGACCAGTCTTAGGAGGAAGCTACTTGGCCTGGTGGTAGGGGGTGGGGTCCTGCAAGGTCTCCACGAGAGGTCTGGAACAGTGAGGGTTGGGAGGTCAGACATGGGAGGCAAGAGTTAAACAGGAATCAAAGAGACGTTCACTTCCTGAGCCAGCTGTGTAGGACTTCCATGGGCAAGTGTGGGACAGTCCTAGCACAGACATAATTAAGAACAGGAACAATCGTAAACCACTGGGGACAAATGAGATCCCTGAGCCCACACAGAGAGATTGTTTCATAGACGGATATGTCTGATGATTGATACATCAGACAGACAGATGATGGACCGGAGAGAAGGAAGGGCTTTGGTTACAGAATACCGGGCCCAGCACATAAGTGCAGAGGGAGCTGAAGTTGGGAAATGACTGTGAAACCATCACAGAGAAGGCTGGTTCAGACATGAGTTGTCATGCATGCACACTCAGTCGTGTCCAACTCTGTGACTGTAGCTCGCCAGGCTCCTCTGTCTCTGGGATCCTCCAGGCAAGAATACTGGAGTTGCCATGCCCTCCTCCAGGGGATCTTCCTGACTCAGGGATTGAACTTGCATCTCCTGCATTGGCAGGTGGGTTCTTTACCACTGAGCCACTTGGGAAGCCCCAGCATGAGCTGTCAGTGGAAAGTAAATTGGGGGGTGGGGGTGGGGGGGCAGGGAATGACAGGAATGATTTTCATGAGGACCAGGATATTTGCATGACCTCGTTTACTTCCTGTTTACTCCAATGAACTCTGTCCTTTCTGAAATGAAATGAGGAGGAGGTGAGATGCCTCCGGGAGTGTGAGGCAGCAAACGTTGAGATGCTGGGTGACACAGCAGACTGAAGTAATGCAGTCATAGCCAGGGCGCCTTTAGAGCCTTGAAAAATCTGAAGAGCCACGAAAGGATGCTCCAAGGAGCCTCCCAAGAGGACCTGGTCGTGATCATGCCTTGATTTTTAGACTTCCAGCCTCCAGAACTGTGAGAGAATATGTTTCTGTTGGTTTAGCCACCAATTTTGTGGCCATTTGTTTCCCCCCTAGGAAAGGAATTCACAGCACAGAGTCCGTGTGGAGCACTGGAGCGTCCTCCTCGCCCGCTGCCTCCTTGGGGCCTGCAGCATGACTCAGCACCCCCATACGGGTGGGTTAACGAGGTCAGAGCAGTGCTGGGACTGCAGGAAGACATACCTCAGCTGTCATTTTTAATTTTAATACTTTTGTTTTCTGTAGTTATTGCACCTGGCTGGGTAGAAAAGACTGAAATGTCAACTGCTCGTAACGTCATATCATAAATGCTGGGGAACCATCTCAATCAGGGTAAGCTGCGAGCAAAGTGTTGGCAGGATACAACTTCCTTGTTTTTCGCCACCAGTGGGCGAGTTGGAATTTAAATCCTCTCAGTATTAAAAAAAAAAAAACAGTCTGCATAATGAATGATGTTTGCTGTAACTTCTGCCTCTTGGAGTCTCGAGAGAGAGATGACAGATGGAGACACCGTTAAGGTTTTAAAAGGCAGAGTTGCTCTTAAACCAAAGTTAGCGATAGTTGCTAAGGCGCTCTTGTGAGACCATCAGCCTATGACTTTTCAGCTTGTGTGCAGATTTCTGGCGGGGTGTGGGGGGCACTGTCCAATCAGGACTCGAAAAATGACAAGATGGCAACTTCCCTGGGGCAGGGGGGGTGGGGGGGGGGTGGGTCCAGTGGTTAGGACTCTCTGCTCTCACTGCCAAAAACCAGGATCCAATCCCTGCTTGGGGAACTAAAATCCCAGAGGCCAAGTGGCGCAGCCATAACATAACATAAAATATTATAAGAGCTATGGACAGATATGCTCCTGAATTTGAAGAACATCTGCCTGGGTAGAGTCAGGAAGGAACTGGCAGGCAGAGAGCAGCCAAGCACCAGGCCTGGAAGTGGGGATGGGATTTCAACTCCCCTCTGAGAACTGCAGCTCACCCTAGTTGCTCTTCCTCCAAAAAAATGAAAGGAAAAACATTAAGACAGAATCAAGATTGCACACCTGGCAGTTTTAACTTATAAAACAAGCATTTATTAATCTAGTTTTTCTTCTCTTGCCTTAATACAGAAGCATGAGGCTGATGGTCTGGTAACATCGATGTGAAGCCGAAAACCCAACCAGTCCTGATTCCAAAATCCCGTGACTGGCCTTCATTAGGCAACAGGATCGCAGTTAGTGTGGTCTCAAGTCCATATAGTAAGCTGACCAACCCCAGGGTCTCCTGCGCCTACCGGGGCTCACTGGGTGGGCTGGGGAACATGAGAGTCAACAGCACAGTGCAGACGGATGGAGGAGGCGGCTTCAGGCAGAACACTGCCGAGGTGTACTTCCCCTGAAAGAAGCTGGAGCTGTCCACCCACAAGGCTTCCTGGTCACAGGCCTGCTTCCCTGGGCAGCATCGTCCTCTGGCCTGGGGTCGGAAGGCTGCGCACCCAGATTGCCCTGAGCTGCGGTCCCCACACGCCAGCCCGAGCCTAGGCCGCCATGACTGTCTTTCCAGCGGGTCTGCCCGGCCGGCTGGTGCTACCGCTGCTTGTGCGGAAGGGGCTTCCTGGGCGGTGGGAGCTCCCGGTGGATCAGGGTGAGTCCGCAGAGGATGAGGAACACTCCGCCCCACCACAAGACCTCCTGGCACTCTCTGTACAACACAAAACCCAGGAAGGCCTGGGGGACAGAGACAGCTGTGAGGCTGGGCGGACACGTGCCCGCAGGGTGCGCGGACACCACCTGACTCCCCCTGGGGCCGAAGAAAGGTCTGGGGCTATAAGTCTTGGGCCTGAAACCCAGCTGTGATCTTCAACAGGTCTCACCTGTAGAAGTGGGCCGGGTACCTCCTCAGAGCACTGGACCAGCAAAGGGGACCAGAGAGGCCAGCAGAGGCCGGAAGCCAGGCCCTGCACATAGCCGGCCCAGCACGTGCTCCCTGGCTCAGCCCACTGGGAGGGAAGGCCCTCCACCCTCCATGTCTCCTGCCTGAGTTCACAGATCCCTGTGGGGCGGCAAACAAGTAGGCTTTTGACAGCTGGACTTCCTCGCCATCTAACTTGAGAATGTCACCAAGTTTGAGAGATTGAAGAAGTCACAAGGAGTCAAGATACCGCCCAACCTCTGCTTCAGTTCCTGTCCCTTCTCCTAGGTGGGAAAGCAGGAGTTGCCCAAGGACAACCCACCCAGAACCCAGATTTGGGACAGAGGAACCATACACTCAGGCTACTCACCGAGTTGAGGATGTTTGAAAAAGTCACCGTGACAGATGCAATGGCTGAAGACATGGACAAACTGAGTCCCCGGCTAAAGAACGTCCACATCAGAGAATTGGTGGTAGCCATCATAATAATGCCTAAGACGCAGAAGCCCACGTTCACCTGCAGGAGAAAGGGTCACTGCAGCCACAGTCAGCCCTGGACAGGCTTGACCAGCAGCCACCATGACAGCCACCCAGGGTCCGGTCATTGCTGGCAGCCAGGCCGCCACAGCCTGGGGGTTCTCAGAGCTTTCCTGCACAGGCCTTCACTTAACCCTCAGCCGGCGCACACTCACTCAACAGCTGAAACAAACTCAAAGACATTTATTTGGCCATTGTACCAGCCATGTGACCTTGGGCAGAAGTAAAGTGCTAATTCATATCCAGTTATCTTCTATTGAACACCAGTCTGTTACGGCCCCACAGTGACCAGTGCAGTGGGGGAAGTTCAGTCTCAGTGGGCCAAGTAGTTATCCCCCGGTCTGAGTAAATGAGGGGCAGAGTCCTCACATGCCAGAATCAGGTGAAACAGGAACTGGTGGTCTCCCTGCTGCTCTGTGCAGCCTAGAAGCCATTCAGCCTGGTCCTACTGGGCATTCTTGAGCTTTTACTTGGTAGCAGGCCCTGGGCTAAGTGTCATAAGTACCTTTTCATATATTCCATAACTTCATTTTACAGATAAGGAACCTGAGGCATTAAGGAACTTGCCTGAAGCACCACAGCTTGGGGAAGCCACCAGGATGCAGGCCCAGGCAATGGGACCGCATGCTCTGAACTAGGACACAGCATGGGAAACCACACCTGGGAGTGTCAGACTAGTGATTCCAGGCGTTACTTGGAGAACATGCAGATTTCATTCGTTTGTTTGTTTCAGGAGACTACTGAGAGGAGAGGCTCTTTAGAAGCCTCCTATACAAAGATGTGCAGACCCCTTACTTGGTTGAGTCATTAACCTGCCTGCAGGCAGAGAGCCGCTTCCCCTGGGGATGGCACCCGACTACACCTCCTCCTCTTCTTTCTCATAAGTTTTCCAGCAGCTCAATATATGGTGTCTTGAGGAAGGAGTGTCTCTGTATAAGTTACACAGAAGCACTGTTATGTGCCAGTGGCAGCCTACTTATGTAAAGGCTTAAGAAGGTCTGCTGCACAACTGAGAAAACAAGAAAACCTCATGGCTCATGGTCACTCATCTTACTTTGGACCACTTACTCCAATGAGAATTACACATGCCAGGATACCAACTTCAAGCATGGCAGTGCCCACTGGATTAGCCCTTAACAGGCTTAAACCTAAAGAATCAGCCTGCCTACTGTCTCAGTCCAGGACTAACCCTGAGTTGCAGCAGCTGCAATGAAACCTCTTTACCAAGCAGAAGCTCGCCTATATGACTTGAGACGGGAGAGGCCACCTTAGCAGACGTGGGGAGGCAGTTCAAGAGTTCTCAGCATTGGGAAAATATCCAGAACGTTTGTCTCAGTCTTCCTTTTATACCTAGGACATCCGAAATTCCCAAGTTTCCTGGCAGGTGGGTTGACCAGTCAAAACACTCGTTAAAGACGGAGTTGGGCAACAGGCTTCTCACCTTAAGAGTCACGTGGAGAGAAATGCTCAGGCACAAAGGGCTTAAAATGAGAGGTACAGAGTGGATGGAGGAGGTGTGCGTCTTCCCCGAGAATGAACTAGCTCGGAGGACAGATTTTTGGGGTCCCTGGTAAGGGAACAGGCCTCAGTCCCCCACGTCTCCTACCACCTACATTGGAGGAGGGCTGGGCGTGACTCCGAGTAGAGGTATGCGCTTCTGCCCCCGCTGTTCTGCAGCGCCCGACAACGGATGAGCCCCCCAACCCACCCCCCCAAAAACAGACCCGCGGGGGTCGGACGGCCCCAGCGCCGTAAGCTCGGCCCCGCCCCGGAGCCCCGCAGCGCCCCTCCTCCGCCTGGCCCCTCCCGCCGGCCCACCGCAGCAGCGCCCCCGGCTCGACCTCTCTGCCGAAGGCCAGCTTGGCGGAGGCGGCGGCCAAGGCCCCGAACGCGCCGGCGCACAGGCAGTTGAACACGCCCCAGAAGCGGCGCCGCATCGCGCCGGCCTGGAGGTGCGGGGGGAATCCGGCAGAGGTGTTAGGGTAGGCGGCGGCGCACACCCCGCCGCCTCCGGGCAGCGGTCTTCCCGCCATGGCGCTCGCAGCCACCTCTCGGGGCGCCGGCCGGCGCCTGGGCCGGAGGAGCGCGACGATTGGACAGTGGCCTCACGTGAGCGCCGCACCACGTGAGTGGCATGGCCAATTGCGGCTCCGCGATGGCCTCGAGGGGCGGGGCTGTCGCAGTCTTCCTGGCGGTGGCTGCTTTTCCGCGTTAGGTTTAGGCTTTCGCGGGAGGACTTCTGGACCGACATATCCAATGCTGACTGTGGTCGTTGTTGTAGAACAGCTCTTCGTGACTCAGCAATTTCAACCCCTGCTACTTGGTGGGGTTCAGCATCGGTTT